CTGGGGAACGGGTGTCGGGGTCGGTGGGAGTGTTCTAGAATATTCTAAAAATCACTGCACTGCACACAGTGAACGAGAGGCCTGAAGCCATATGCGCTGCCTCTCAACAAGCAGGTTTTTGAGAGCACCTCTTTCCTGTCTCCCGGGGGGCGCGGCGGGTGGTCTGAAGGGCTCCCCAGACTCTCGTGCGTGTCTCTGTTGCGAAACCATCATACCCCAAAAATATGCAGTGAATTGCTCAAACAAATCATTAGGACCATTCTCTCTGTGACAAATAGCCATTAGGAGCCTCAGGCTTGAAACTGAATCCAGGTTAGGGACCTGGGGTCTGGGACCCTATCACAGCAGTTGGCCCTAAATTCTCCCCTTCCTGCTGCCCCGTGGGTGCCGGTCCTGGACACCGGTCCCCAGCAGAACCCCAAGTGGTGGGAGTGAGGGAGAGGGGAGGGAGCTGATGGGAGTTGGTGGTTTGGGCAGGGCCTCAGGGGCCCCCTGAAGCAGGACCCAGCTGCCCCCAGCCTTCTTCCTCGTGGGGGACGGTCCCCTCCTGCCGAGGCCCAGTGCAGGACTGAGCAGCCCAGCCACAGCTCTCCTCCGTCCCCATGGCGGTCTGCTGCCCAGGGGGTGCCGCTCCCCCCGTGAGGGGCTCAGGCTCTCCCCTGTGCTCCCCGAGCCCCAAGCCTGCACCACCCCTGGTGCTGCCCACACCCATCCACGGCCCCTCACCCCCTTCTGCAGGCCCCCATCCTGGGCCCCACCCTCAGTGCTCCCCGGTGCCCTGCACGTGGCAGGGGCGTATCTGATCCTGGCTCCCTCCTCCTGTGTGCATCCCTAGCTGTTCCTTGTGGCCCAGCTCACACCTAGCTGGTCAGGATGCCCTCTGCTTGTCGACATCCCTGCCCTGGGTGTGTTTGTTTCCCCCCAAAATCCAAATGTTGAAGCTTAACCCCTGATGGGCTGGCATTTATTTTTTATTTTTTTTTTTTTTGGGAGATGGGCCTCAGGGAGGCAGTTCCATTTAGATGAGGTTGTGAGGGTGGGGGCCCCATGGTGGGTTAGCATAAGAGCCTAAGATGAGGCACCAGGCTCATTCTCTCTCTCTCTCTCAACCACCCAGTGTCCAGGGCTTTGGGGTCCTTCAGTCTGGCAGGCCCCTCTCCCAGGACGGGTCTCAGCCTAGCCTCAGCCTCCTTGTCAGCAAGATGAGGACCCTGATCCCTGACCCTCCTTCAGGCTCCTTAGGCTGCACTCGGGTTTGGGGCCCCTGGGTCCCTGCCCTGAGCCCCACCGAGGAGGGAGGGGAGCCCCCCTGCCCTGCCTCCCTCACGTGGTCAGGGATGTCCAGTCTGTGAGAGCACAGTGTCGAGGGTGCTGGCCGCCCTGCCAGAGGCCTGCGGGCCTTCCACTCTGATCTCTGCTCTCCAGGGCGAGGAGGCCTGCTCTGGCCACAGGTGGGGCTGCTAGGGGTGCACGTGCGGGTGGGGCAGGAAGGAGGCCAGCCCTGGTGACAATGTCACTGACTGGACCCAGGCCCCAGACCCCAGAAAGGCCACACAGGCCCCAGCCCCAGGCCGGCTGACAGCTGCCCCGCAGCGGCGAAGAGGTCGAGATGCCCACGGCACAAACCCTGGGCCTAGGGCAGAAAGGGGGTGGGTGGGAGCCCCGAGGACGCAAATGCCCCGCAAAGGTGAGCAGAACCTCCTGGGTGGCAGGAGGCCGAGGGCAAACACCTATTAGTGCCCAGAAAGGCCCCCCAGGGAGAAGTGTGCAGAAGGCCAATCAGGTGGGGAAGGCGGGGGCAGGGGGACTGCATGAGATTTTTATTTCCTTTTCTGCGTTTATTTTACTAATTTTCTTCCACCAACAGTGGTTATTTTAGGATGAGGGAAGCAGAACCCTTGCAGAAGGGGGAAGGTACCCATCGGTACCCTTCCCCCCACCATACCCTGGCACAGTGGGGGCAGGGGTAGTGGGGGAGGTGGCCACCTCTGCAGGATCCCGAGTGTCCAGGGCTTTGGGGTCCTTCAATCTGGCAGACAGGGGATGGGAAACCAGCTGGAGGATGTGGGCACTTGTGGTCCCTTGCAGGCCCCTTGCATGGCAAAGACACTTGGCCACAGCGAGGACTTGATATGTGTCTCCTCTCCCCCCACCTGCACTGCCCCCAAGAGCAGCCGAGCAGGACACATGTGATGGATTCCTGCACTTTACAGGGGAGCAGAAGTCGGCTGTCCTAGGGCCCAGCCCCCCCCAACCCACCACGTCTGTGGCCCAGCCCCTTGCCCCCAACGTGAAGCCCAGGCTGCCTGGGGCCCAGGCCCCTGTGCAGCCTCCCACGGCCCCATGTGGCCAGGTCACGAGCCCACGGGGTCTGAGGGCTGGAGGGGGGGTCGACCTCCCTGGCAGGGGGCAGGATGAGCTTAAGCCTCAGGTCCCAAGTCCCTTCAGCAGCACCCTGAGTCATGCCCTCTCCAGGCCTTGGCTCCCCAACTAAACAATGGGGTAGCACCCCCATGTTGCCTGTGGCAGGGCACCAGCATAGGAGGCTGGTTTCCGGGGCTGCTTGGCAAGTCCGGGTCTCCCTCCTCCATCCACAGGCCCCTTCTATCGCAGAGGAAGCCCCTCCAGCCCCTAGACCCACCTCCAGCCCCCCCTCAGCCCCCCCCCCCCCCCAGCCAGCAGCAGTGTCCCTCTGCCCTGATTGGCTGGTCTGGAGAGACACTGAATGTCTGTCACCCCAGGGTGTCAGGTGGGAGCCAGGCCACCATGAGCTGTGGGCCTCCACCGTCCTTCTCCTCAACATGGGTTCAACCCAGAAACGCCGGTGCTAAGGAGACCCCAGGCCCCGGCCCCGAGAGCCCACGTGGGCTCGGCCCTGGTGGCAGCTCCTGCAGCGCTGTCCAGACCGTGGGTGGCAGCTGGGGAGTGAGGCCTCTGGCAGCGAGGAGATGGGCAGAAACGGTCACCTGGCTGGACCAGCTCCCACAGGCGGGATGCACGAGAGGCCAGGACCCAGAGCGGGCAGGGCCGCAGGATGGCTCCCTCTGGCCTCCCTGATGTCCCCAGCCTCACGCTGCTGCACACCCCATCTACACCCAGGACCTCATCACCCTGAGCAGGCTGGCCGCTCCCGCCCAGGCCATGCTCCTGGGTGGGGTCCCTCTGTGCAGAGGGCCTCCCCTGCAGCCCCTCCCAAGCTGGCAGGAGCCTTCCTCCTCCGCTGAACCTTCCCCAGCCGGCGCCCAGCGCCTCTCCCCAGAGCACTCCTCCCCCCGGGAAGCCCACCCTCTTTCTGCTGTGCCTTGGTCCCCCATCCCTCACATCCAGGGGGTGGCGGGGGTTGGGGGCAGGGCATCAGATTACCGGGCACCCGGGTGTCGCCAGGGACCAGCCCCCCAGTTCCTGGGAGGAATGGCTGTTGCACAGACAGGCGAGGTGTGGCTACCGTGAAATCAAACTGACAAGAAAACGTGCTTAATTTTCTGCTTAAAGAAACAGCCACAAAGACAAAAAAAAAAAAAAAAAAGCTGTCTTTCCTTTTAGTTAGAACTGCTGCCCCTGCACGGCCAGAGGCCAGTGCACCCCGGCCATGGTAGGGGTGGGGAGGGGAGAGAAGCTGGCTCTCATCCAGCCCCTCTGGCCCGGCGGCCTGGGGTGCCATGCAGTCCTGGGCGCCCAAGCCAGCAGGCCACGGGACACTTGGTGGAGACCCCAGGCCACGGGCAGCACTAGGTGGCATCGGGCCATGGGGCACAGGGCAGACGAGGGACCGGGGAGCCCCAGCCTGAGGGCTGTCTTGAGGCCAGGCTGCAGCCTGCAGGGTCCCTAACTGGGAGGAGGGCACGGGCCTGGCACCACCGGCCTGGGTCTCCTGCAGGGGCCCTCACTGGGCTCTGGACTTCAGGGCGAGGGTGCCCGGATGCAAACCCCCACGCTGGCGGCCATCCCCACACCTGACCGTGGGGGCTGGTTTTGCCCCTCTGACCCGCAGGCCGGGGCTGGGAGCCTGGGCCAGGCAGTTAGCGGTGCAAGTGCCCAGTCCAGGGCTGCGTGTGGCTGTCCAGCTCAGGGACCCTGAGTCCCCATCACTCCGTTTGAGACACGTGCTTCTCCAAGGAGCCATGCCTAGCTTCCCAAGAACACCCTCTCTCTGCCTCGGCACGGCCCCCACCCCCCAATCCAGGCGTCACCTCACAGTTGGCACCCAAGGGCTGGGCTCAGCCTGGGGGGACGGCCTTAGGGCAGCTGTGAGCCCAGAGGGCCTGGGCTCTGCTGGACCCGTGGAGCGAGGGCAGGGAGGGCAAGGGGCGGGTGGCACCGTCGCTCCGTCCTCCAAAGCACACCCCTGCCCTGCCGCCCTGCTGGGCTCATGTGACGTCTTCCTCCCAGCGGTGGACCCTGGGGGTGGAGGGCTGGAGGGGCCTGAACGAGAGCAGCTCCTCCCGAGGGTTTCATTCCGGTGGGATTCTGGCTTTGCTGTGACACCCCCCCCCCAACTCGGAAGAGTCAAGGCCAGAACCACGGGAACCACGGGGGGGGGGGGGCAGAGTCCTGCCCTCTTCTGTCCTGAGAGCACCAGAAGATGCCCCCCACCCGCACACACTCCCATCCTGGCCACGAGAAGTCCCGCTGGGGCGGCGGGGCCCTCAAAATGCTCTGGTAAAACCAGGGACAGGCCAAGCTGCCACGGTCCTCTCTGGGACGCCCCTGGGCTCGACTGAGCAAGCCAGGAAACCAGGAGAGGGCAGGTACCACTGGCAGGAGCCAGAACAAGGCCACCCCGTTTGCAGATATGCTGCCCCACCTAGGGGAGCCGCAGGGAGCAGGTGGGGAGGGGATGCGGCCCCCCATGCGCCTCCCCCCGGGGCCACCTGCTTCTCAAAGCTGCCGCATCCCTCCATAGGCCCGACCTCCCGCGACGCAGCCTCAACACAGACCTCCCTTTACTCTCGCTCATGTTTAAACGAAGAAAGAGCAGAACCCATTTTCTGTTTCTTTCTCTTTTTGGTCTTTAAAGTGACAGAAAGGAGAGAGGAGCCCGCTCTTACAAACACAGGGCCAGGTTGCTTTCCTGTGGAAGTCTGAACGTTCCCAGAGCGGCGCCTGCCCCAGGCCCACAGCCTAGGGAGCCGCCCAGCAGTGTGGGGGGCACGGCGGCCCCTGAGGGCAGGTGCTGGGCACCTGGCAGGACCCCGGCTTTGGGAGGGACGTGGGGTAGGCAGGGTCCCCGGTTCTCAAGTGCACAGAGACCCCGTGCTGGGCCTGGCCCTGGATGCCCGACGCGGGGCACCCCGCCCCCATTCCGTGGCGCCCCCGCGGGTGCAGACGAGTCGGCGGCAGCGGCGTGAGGCTGGGCTCCTGGAATTTCACAAACCAGAAGAACTGAAGTCTGAGTGAGGGGAATAAATACATTCAGCGGAGAGGAACCGCTGTGCACGTGGGGGCGCTGTCCTCCGGGCCGGACACACCTCCTCTCTGCGGAACCACGAGCAGGCGGCCCCCCCGGGCCGGGCATGTTCTGCACACAGCTGGCCAGAAGGCACGCGGGGTCCCTCAGACGGAATGGGGGACGTGGAGGGCACCCCCAAAGTCGGAAGCTCCAGAACAGCCGTGCTCTCATCGTCGATGACCTTGACGGAAGCAGAACGGGAAAGAGGTTACCTCCAGGTTAGGTGCTGGGGGTCCAAGCACTGGGTCAGAGCACCCACTGCGGGTCTTTGAGCCATGCTTCTCAGGCTCTGCCTCGCCAGGGATCCCCAAGGACCCCCAGCTCCCAGTGGCCCTCACCACCCCAGGAGTCCCACCTCCCTGGTGCCCGCTGTGCCTCCCGGGCGGGGTTCCCCGACCCTGCACCCCACCCGTGTCCATCCCACCTCCCAGGGACCCTGAATTTCCCAGAAAAAGGTGCAGGACCCTTGACTAATTGGAAGCCCAGACCACGGGGCTCCCCGTGAAGCACACAGGCGTTCTGAGAGGAGGCCTACTGTTCTAGATCCTTCCGGCTGCTCATGGCCTGGGGGGCTGGGGAAGCTAATGGCTGTGCACATGGCCCTGGGGCTCACAGCTTCAGGAACCCCGACGTGCTACCGTCAGGGTATGTGACTGACACCTTCTGGAGAGACACGCCCTCCAGAAGGGTTTGGGGGAACCCTCTGGGGTCGGGGGGCAGACCCTCAAATAAAAAACCTTCCCTAGGTTGGTGGGAAGTCAAGCTTCAGCCCTGCTTCTCAACGTGTCCCCACCTCCCATGTGACCACCCAGGTCCCCAGAGGGCCGTCCCTGAGCAGGCGGCCCTGGCCACAGGGGCACATGGACACCTCAGGCCATGTCTCGACACCAGACAGCAGCCAAGCCTGCAGGAGGGGAGCCCGCCTGAGGCCAGCAGCCTAGAGGGGAGCGTTCTCTGCCACAATCCCCGCTTGCCCATTAGTCAGGGGTGGACGGAGACATGCAGGTCTGTGGGGTCACTGGGTCACAGGAGGCTCCGGCGGGGGAGGGCAGCCAGAGGCCCGTCCGGCCAGACAGTGGCTCCAGGAAAGGGGGCGCCACAGAGCGCCACTGGCCACATCCTGTGGCTCTTCCCACCAGAAGGCGTGGTGTCCCCCCACCCAGGGCGCCCTGAGGCCACCACAAGAAGCAGAAGTGACAGGGGCACCTGGGTGGCTCAGGTGGTTAAGCGACTGCCTTCGGCTCAGGTCATGATCCTGGAGTCCCGGGATCGAGTCCCGCATCGGGCTCCCTGCTCGACGAGGAGCCTGCTTCTCCCTCTGACCCTCCCCCCTCTCATGTGCTCTCTCTCTCTCTCTCATTCTGTCTCAAATAAATAAAATCTTAAAAAAAAAGAAGCAGAAGTGACAACGAGCCCGTCCTGGCTCAGCCCCCAGGAGAGAGCGGCCATGACTAGGTCCCGGTGGGTGAGACCACCGTGTGCCGGGAGGAAGCGCAGACTGCCACCCGGAGGGGCCCTGGGTGTGCCTGAGAGAGAGAGACAGAGACAGAGAGACAGAGAGAGGCAGAGCGCGCACAGCCATGCGCAGTCCGAGGGTGGGGCGCCACGCGGCAGTGGCCACAGCAGAGGAGTCCGTGGCCCGGCGCCCCGGTGTGGCCAGGACCCCACAGAATTGGAAGCAACGCGGCGCCCGCAACCTCTGAAGCCGGTGTGTTTGGGAGAAGTTTGTTCACACAGCGATCACACGCATGTCTGAAAGCACTGGGAGATTTGATGTCCCTGAGCTGGGGACAAATAAATGGTAAGAATATAAAAACTAGGCAGCCAAAAAATGAGGCAAATTCAATTCCCAGAGAACAGAGCCGAGCAGACCAGAAACGCAGTCCTGCTGATCTGTGTGCGCGCGCTGTGAATTCCCACGTCCACACCGAGTCTCGATTCAGCCCCACCTGGTGCTTGTGTGCGTGCCCGGGGGCCGGGGGGAGGGGGACTTCTACAGTTGCTCCGTCTTCATTTTCTACAGGAAAAAATGTCCGTGAACGGCGCCTCGATTGAAAAATCATGGAATAAGAAACAGCAGGAAAGTGCATCATTTCGGAGTATGGAGATGAATTCTCTCATTACACACTTTCTGTCACCAGTGGGCCTTTACAATTTGAACATACATAACACCGGTACAAATAAAACTTAAATGAAAAGAAATTATGTTCAGGAACACCTTACTCTCGTGGGAACCGAGAATCAGAACCTTCTTCCATTTACGCAGAATAAAACCCCCAGAGACAGAGAAACCCACATGTTTCCCCCCCGCCCCCGCCGCTCCTCCACCAACACTGGGCTCCCCCCTCACTGCCCCAGTGCAGCAGGGGTCAGGTCCCCGGGCCAGCCTTGTGCCCGCCACACCTGCCCAGGGGGCTGGCCTGGAGGGAGACAAGGTGGTACAAGCAGGTGGCTGGGAGGACCTGGGGCCCAAAGCAGCCCCGGGGATGAGGCTGGGTGGAGGGGGCAAGGCACTGGCCTGCCCACGGAGGGCTGCTGGTCATGGGACAGGGTTGACATGGTGGATGGCCCTGCACTGCAGTGTCACCGAGGCGGGGGCACACTGCCCGCCCAGGCCCGGACCCACTGTCAGGTTCCTGGGGGCCCAGGAAAGACCTCAGGGCAGAGGCCTGAGAGCAAGCAGCCCACCCGTGAGTGGTCTGGCTGGGAGGGGGAAGGAGGGACAGCCTGTCCTCCTCTGTCCAAAATGGCCAGGATTCCAATGAGCCGGAAAGGCCCCCTCAGCGGCTGCAGCAAGCCACACTCGCCCTGCCCCGGGGTCTCAGGGGGTGGGAGCAGCAGGCCCCAGGGGGGCAGGAGGGGCAGTGGGCACAGAGAGAGGACAGTAATGACCACAGCCCTGGTGGTCTGGTGGGGAGCGGACAGGGGGCAGCTTCGCTGGGTTACTTCTATTTTGACAACAACCCCCGGGGTGCCATCACCCCAAGGGGCTGAGGCTCAGAGGGGCTCCAGACCCCGCCCAAGATCACTCAACCAGCTTTGGGGCCAGACTGCAAACCCACATCCCAGGGAGGCCAGAACAAAGCACCACAGACTGGGCAGCTCCAAACACAGAGTCCTTCCCTCCGTCCTGGAGGACAGATGTCTGGAATCGAGGTGTCCCAAGGGGCAGCCCGGTCTTTCAGAGGCCTGAGAAGGGGACCCCATCAGGCCCTAGGCCTCCGTGGTCGTGGAACCACCCCCCACCCCCGCAGCGTGGCTGGACAGCAGGCTGAGCACCAGGAATGAGGGGCTCCCAGGTGACAGGTGCCTCTGCTGGGAACAGTCCGCCCCAAGTCCAGGCCTGACCACCCACCCTGGCCCCAACCACATACCCTGCAGGGAAGGCTGGCTGTGTCCAGACCGGCTCTACCGTCCCCTGGCCCGTGAGGGACAAGACCTGAGCAACATACGCTCAGCGGGTAGAGGTTTCTGCCCTGACCTGGGGCGCAGTCCCTTCCCTGGCCAGGCAGAGGCCCTGACTCAGGGTCCCCGAGGAAGTGTCCCCCAGAAGAACGTGACCCGCTGTTGCTGGGTACGCTCTGCTGGGGGGAGCCTCAGGGAAGCTGGGTGGGAGATAGCCACTGTGCGTGGACTGGACGGGGGGCTGGATGGAGCCCCCGCCCCTCCTCCCCACACCCGCCCCAACTCTGGCCCCGCACTGCTGAGGATGGCAGATCCCAGCGACTGGAGGAGCAATCCCTTCCTGAGAAACACGCACCAGATCATAACCGGGCACACAAACCCATCCCGTTCCCGCCAACACTTCACCTCTCCCTGCAGGGGCGCAGCTGGGCCCCCCCAGACTGTTCCCGTTCCAGGAGAGGCGCAGCTGCGGTCGGGCAGCCCCACCTCCACAATCCCTCCACAGTCACGGGGAGCTGAGTGCAGGGGAGAAGCAGTGAGGAGGAGTGAGGAGGGGTGTCGGGGTCTGGGGAGGTCACAGCCCATCACAGGGGGAGCTGCTGGGGGGCAAAGGCTCAGCGCCACCCAGAATCCAGCGGCCGCCCCTTGAGTGTTTGAGTGTTTCGGGGGCTCCCCTCAAAGGCAAGCACGCTTCACGCCACTTGGCCCCCGGAGATCATTAAAACTGCTCACGCCCCGCTCCGCGACCGACCTTTGGAGCCATCCGTACACATCCCTCAGCCGCCTGCCTCATTCCAAACACGGGATTTGAGCGACCTGAGGAGGGCTGGTCGTCACTTGGTGTCTGCCTCAGGGACATTGGGTCCTGGAAGCCCTCCGGCTTGGCCGGGCCTCCATGAGAAGAGCAGGTGTTCCTAGAAATCTGGAGACGGCCGGGCGGGTCCCCTGCTCTGCTGTCACCCCAGCCAGGAAACCCCTCAGCATAAGCTTCTTTCCTCCCGCCCCTGCTGGCCCGGACGCCCCGTCCCAGAGCAGCCCAGCCCCCCCCCCTGTCCCCCCTGCCGCCCCCCCCCCCCGACTTGGAAACAATGGCAAAAGTGAGGTCACCACACAGGTTCCGGCCACCGCGCCGAGAAAAGCTCATTTTTCCCGGGACTTCCTGGGCAGGGAGACGCCCTACTGGCCGGGAACCAGCCCAACGGCCCAGCAGGCTGCCCACCTGCTCCAGGGAGGACAGGCTTCCCTGGTGTCCCTGGGCAGGGCGCTGGCTCCTGCATCCACCACGCAAGCACTCGGGACAGCCCCCTACCCGTCTGCCCCTCAGGGCCCCAGCGGAGCACAGAGGAGCTGTGTCCCCCACAGGGCCCCAAGGTCACCACCGCGGGCCCCCAGGTCGAGGTCGGCCGAGGCTGTGCTGCCCGTCTGAGACACTGTCGCCCCAGGGACCGGGTCCTCCGTTGGAGCTTGCGGGGAAGACGGCGGTGACCAGGAGGGCCTGGACCGCGAGGGCATCGGGCGGGAAGCATGTCGCGAGCGGCCAGTGCTCAGGCCCCATGACGGGCGACCAGACCTGCGGCTCTCTGCACTTAAGGCCTGTTTGCTGAACCGCAGCCGGCGGCACGGGTACAGCAGCCCGTGGGGAGCAGGAACCCCCGCACATCCCGCAACAAGGCGAAGGCCCACAGCTGCTCACCGCGCATCACTGATGGCCATCCTCAGACACAGAATACATGCAGGGCCCCCAGGAGCCACGCAGATGCCCAACACACAAGACCC